GAATTAGAACAGCTGGGACGTAGACCAGTGCCCACATGGGACACTGGTGCCACAGGTAGAGGCTTAGCATGCTTAGCATACCAAGGCCCAGCTACTTTTTAAATATACCATTACAGGGCCTGGTGCGGTAGCCTAGAGGCTAAATTCTTGCCTTGCATCTGCCAGGATTCCATTTAAGATGTTAGTTCGTATCCTGGTTGCCCCACTTCCCAACCATCTCCCTGTTTGTGGCCTGGGAAAGCAGTCAAGGATGGCCCAAGGCCTTGGTACACTGTACCTACATGGGAGACCCAGAAGAAGCTCCTGTTTTTGGATCAGTTCAGCTCTGGCTGTTGTGGCTACTTAGGGAGTGAACCAGCTGATGAAAAACCTTTCTGTATCTCCTCTCTCTAACCACTTTTCCAAGAAAAATTTAAAATCTTAAATAAATAAATAATCCATTACACAGAGCAATAAATATTCCTGAAAAGTCCACTAACCTGTAGAACAACCTAACAAAATGTTATTTTCGGTGTTGGTTAAACGATAATGTGTATTGCAGACATCCTTCCCAGCTGGGTACCAATTCCAGTCCCGCTGCTGCACTTCTGATCCAGCTCCCTCCTAATGTGCCTGGAAAAGAAGTGGAGGTCCCTGTACCCACATGAGAAGAAGCCCCTGGCTCCTAGCTTCAGCCTAGTGTAGCCCTGGTCACAGTGGCTATTTGGGGAGTGAAACAGGATGTAAAGTTTCTTTTTGTCTTGCCTTTCCTTTCTGTAACTATGATTTTCAAATAAACAAGTAAGATGCTTTTTTGGGGGTAGGGGGTCACTTCTAATTAAGCCTGCCATTTAAATCACTAACATTACTGTATGTGATTATTTGTAGGAGTCACAGATAGTTTCTATGACTAGACATGTTGACTTCAACTCTGATTTATTTATTTTTTAAAAATAAAGCACTTTTTATTAAAACTCTCCAAATTAATATATTTAGGTAAAATATCTTGAATTTATATCCCAAGTATCAGTGATCTGGTGACAAAAAAGGGAACATAATCTGGGTCTACTTTCCTTGTCTACACACATTGAAAAGCAAAAATACCACATGTTTTACTAGCAGTATATACATACTCAAAACCTTAGCAGGCCACAGATAGTCACAATCTTAAAATGGCACCTTAAGTATTATAATTATAAATAATAGTACTGTTTATATAACTATGTCATATTTTGAGTTTTTTCCAAAAATAATGCAGATGAAATTCAGTAATTTCATACTTTACTTATGAAATGCCATTGATTAGTTTGACATTACTTGAAGTTGCCTATTCATATTCTAAAACAAAGGTAAAAGGGGTGCATTAACAGAATGATGTAAGACTTACTTCACAGAGGCTAGAACAAGCCCCCTTCACAGCGATCGGTGCTTCAAACGATATTCTATCTGCAACCCTTTGTTTAAAAGATGACTGTCTTCTAGGTGGGCTGTCCAGAGCAGATAAAGCATCACAGTGTTTCTCTAGTAAAGGGTCTTTTGTAGCAAACCACAGAGTAAAACATAAACTTGACTCACTTTTATTTAATATTTACATCACACCTCAAACTAATTTAATACATTTTTAGCTTTTGCCAAGTAAAACTGCTAGCATAAAAGCCCTTAAATTCTTGAGCTTAGGATATTTCTTTCACCAGAATCTATAGAAATTTATGCTTACTGCTTATGAACGAACACAACTTTAGTTGCAGGACCGTTTCATCCTTTGCAAATGGGAAATGACAGTTGTTACAAATCCTTTGTCTTCTCTGGCTACTACCTTGGTCACAACCCAACCAAAGCTAAATGATTAAACAGTCCCTGGATGAGCCCCAAGATACTTTCTTTCTAACACTTCAAAGCAGCCCCTGAAGTGACCTGTTTCTCCCACTTGCCCCTGTCCACTGCACAGAATCCCAGGGCACTGCATCAGGGCAGAATCTGCAGGAGGGCATCCTACCGAGATTACACGGAAAGGCTCTTCTCATGGAACCTTGCACAGACTCAGTGTTTAGTAAAATGCTTCCAGATGATGAGGATCATAAATTAATATGCAGAGAAATCTGTGAAGACAAATGAAGACACTGGAAAGCAAAAGGTGGAAACTAAGAATGGGTAACACGTTCCCCTGAAATGACACACATTTTAAGAGCCAGTCTTCACTGTGGCTTTTCCAGAAAGACAGTAATAGTGGTCCGGGCTGAAACACTGTTTCAGTAACTATTATGTACATGTATATATATATATATATACACACAGATATGTGTGTTTATGTATCCCGATACATCTTACTCTAGTATGGCCTAGGGGAATTCCAATTCTAAAAGTGAAAATTTACAATTTCCAGTTATTTGAAAATAATCTAATTTAAGCATAGTTAAGCCTAAACCATCTTCTGATCACAGAATTATTCTTTTTGTTCTAAAAGTGCACGGACTTTTCTTTAAAGACGCCCAACTTCAGCTTTGAAGACAGAGGCCTTCAAAGGTCTATTGTTATTACTGAAACTTTGCTTCTACGATGTTACTAATTTCAACATCCTAGAAAGCTCTTCCAATATCAACTTTTTCAACCACTGAAGAGAACTTGAGCCCACACTCTGACGGCCATGTCAGCAGCATGCGCTTCCAGCAAGAACAGCAAAATCACTCAAACATCAAATTGCTGAGCCTAGAGAAGGATTTATTCTCCCATTACAGGAAAGTCACAAGTGACTTGTTCTGAGGTATGTTTGAGCTATGAAGGACATGGATTGGCAAGCTCTGCACATGAAGGTTTCTCTTCAGGTGAAACTTCTCAGGGCTGAACAGTCTCTGCAGGAACCAGGTTCCCTGTCGTATCCAGCTGCATACACTTACAGGTGCAACCCGACACAGGACACTCCGCATGGTCCCTAAAAAACAGGTCAAGCAACAGTCAAAATCCAAATGCAACATTCTTACACTTATTCCTCTGTATCACGCACCTCTCTGCAATGCAATTGTACAAAATGGCACTTGGAAAGAAATACGGTAATCAAAATCCAGAGGAAAAAAAAGCATTAGAATTTGAAGTTAAACTTGAAAGTTACTGAACATTCAGGAATTTTTTTGCATATGTAGCAAGATACCACATTCACAGTTATGGAGGTATTGGGGCCGTGCCGAGTTTCAACTAAAGCCAATGAGACAAACTGGGGCACGAGCAGTACAGGCTGACTGGCGTTGCTGGAAATGCAAGTTCAGTACGGTCTACACTGCATGAGGGCCTAACCCTCCTCAGCACTAGCTTACTTAAAACTGGTGCACTGGTTTGACATACACCCTACCATTTTATCGGCAATAGATTACAGAATATATAAACACACTTTTCCCCAATAAAGTAAATAATGTTAACGTTCATTTAAATCACAAACATATTGAAACTTACAAAAGTATTAATGTTACAGTTTCTGGTTATACTACACACATACACACACACTGTTAACAAATACATTCATCCTTTGCATATGCATTAAGAGGTAAACCTAAATCATTTAAGAGTATGTGCTGTATATCCTAGAACTCCAAGCCTATTAAAGAGGAAACGTGTGGAGTACCTGAACCAGCTAAGCATATGGCCAGCATGCCCGCCGTGCCTGCAGTTGTGACACCATGTAAACCAGTTGTTAAACTGAGCTAGTTTTTTGTCCTTGCTCAAGTCTACTTTTTCATCTGATTTGGATCCTCCTATGGGGAAAAGAAAGTCATCATTATTAACTAGTTTCTTAAAAGCTGTGATTGAAAATACAAATAATGTATCATACTGAAATAGTAATTTTGGTACTAGGATCTAGTTTAGATTGAAAGAATACTAAAGACAGTTTTCCTGCATTATTTAAAAAAAAAAAAAAACACATTTATTTGAAAGTCTAAATTACAGAGACAGAGAGAGATCTTCAATCTGCTGGTTCACCTTCCAGATGGTCCACAGCCAGAAGCTGGGCTGGGCCAAGGCCAGGAGCTTCATCTGCATCTCGCACAAGGGTCCGCAGGCCAAGGACTTGGGCCATTTTCTACTGCTTTTCCCAGGCCATTAACAGGGAGCTGCATAGGAAGTGGAGCAGCTGGGACACAAATTCGCATTACATGGGATCCCAGCATTACAGGTAGTGGCATTACCAATTTTGGCACATTTCAGCCTCTTTCCCATGTTCTTAATAGCCAATTAAAAATGGAAAAACACAAATGATCAAAATCCACTAGAAACTATCTGAATCAAAGATTTTAGAGAGGGGCCAGCATCATGGCACACAGAGAATTAAGCCACCATTTGCAATGTTGGCATCCCCTGTCAGAGTACCAGTTCAAGAGCTGGCTGCTCGACTTCCCATCCATTTCCCTGCTAATGTTGCCTGAGAAAGCAGTGGAGCTAGCAAGAGAGAGACAGAGAGTGAAAGGAGGCATGGCTGCAGGCCGCCATCAGCTTGTCAACCCCCAAACATCCACACTGGTACTGCTGACATACAAAATAAAAATCCCTGACTAAAATTCAAATAAAAAATTAACTGTACATTAAAAAACATTATATATTCCCTTTATCTGACCAAACAAAAAAGTCACTGGATCAATTATTGATATCAGCAAGTCTTTCATGGATGTTAACATAACTGAACAGACTGTAGAACAGGATATAAAACGTGAGATCTGGAAAGGTACTTCAGACCAACAGCCTCTATGAAAGAGAACTACAGCAATTTCACAGAGGTAAAGCTGACATTCTGATACGCTACGAAAATATTCACTGTACTGCTATGCCAAATACCCAAGAATTTTTCATTACATTTTTTTGCCATACTATCATTAATGTCTGGAATACATTCCTAGTCACTGATATATTATGCCCTATTGACTGCTACTCTTAATTTTCCCAAATGTTTACCAAAAATACTAAAAAAGAAACAAGCAATGTAAACAACCATTCAAATATGTATATATATATTTATATATGCTAGGTAACTAACAAACACAGCTGAAGCAGCATTTGGCCTAGAATTCAGGGGACCTGGCTTCTAGGTTACTGACTTCCTCTATGCACTCAGATTGCAAAGATGAAGAGGAAATGTTTAAGCTAACTGAGACTAGGAAAAGCTCCTTCCGCAGACAAAGTTGGAAGTTAACAGATACAGGTAAAGTGATTTTCAAATTTCAAGCTTTGAGGAATTTCTATTAGTGGAGTAATCTTAAGAAAACAGTATAATTCTAAGATTACATTTAAGCTTTTTTTTCTTTATAAAAAATTCTGTGGCTACAACTTGTACTCGTGCGTAAACCAATAGGAGCGGAAAAGTCGCAATACCTTTCCTTTATTTCTCAGCTTGGCTTTCTAGTAAGTCTAACTTCACTGATTATAGGCTGCAGTATTAGAGACCGTCCTTTGTATGGGTGATTCTAGAACGGAATTTGTTCATGAACTCACTTGACAGTAGAGATGACATTGAGCATTAATGCCCTTGAACTCTATTCTGTAACCACTGAACGCCTGCTCTTCTTGCTGTGGGGGTGCTACCCCTGTACTGGCCCACAGCTCAGGCTCCACTTCCCTGCTTCAACTGTGACAGCATGACAACCCAGCAGAGGCCATACCACCAACTACACGTGTTCACCAGAAAGACGACACTGCCAGCAAACACCTTCAGCCTGCCTTCCTCATAAACTTTAAACTTGTTCACATTTGTGAGATCACCTGAAGTATAGTAGATAGAGCATTTATTTTTAAAGCATATAAACTTAGAAGGATCACAAAAGCTTTCAAGTTATTAAACTTCCCTTTTTTTTTTTTAGAAATAACACAAACTATCCTGTGGTTTATTTTTGTCATTAACTCAATTATACAGGAACAGCTCCAGCTCAGAGAAGTAACGCAGAACTATGCCATACCAGGACAGCTAGATACAGGAGTCCCCATGTTAATGAGGCAAAGTGCACAGCGAGGAAGGGGTTTGCGACAGCCGGGGCAACTTGTGACTTTGGATTTCGTCGGGGAGCCGCTCACACCATACTGACTGAAGCCTCTGCCCTGGTGCGGCACGGTGGAACAGCTGTAGGAGATGGACTTACCGCAGAAATTGCAGCTCACAAACACCTACAATATGAACAAAAGGAGAAACAAGCGTGATATAAATCATAATGGGATCATTAAACTTTGATTCCAACAAATCCTTTTTAAGCAGTCTTCAAAACTTTATTTTATATTGTTATGTGATTCACATACTTACTTACTACATGATTCACAGATTTATTTACTAAATCTGACAAGTTCTCATTTAAAATCTCCACTTTGCAGTTATATTACTTGGGTACTTCCTTTCTGTTAATTTAACTATAATCTTCCTAATACCATTGATACTGGTGGAAAAACTACGGAACCTCAGACCACCACACTTTAGAATTCACACTGGCCCACTGCAAAAATCCATCTATCACTTCTAAATCAAAGTTCTACAATGGAATCTTCCAGATACAATTTTCTCATAAAGAAAACACTCTGTTCTAAAATAAAAAGGAGTAAAGGATCCTGGAATGATAAACAGCCAAAAACGTTTACAGTGAACTATCAGTCACTTAATCTATTGTTGTGGAATATACTCTATCACGTAATGCTGTGCTACCAATATTCTGATTAACAGAAGCACACGAACTCTCCATTTCCTAAACTAAGCACATAGCACCATCCAGTGCTCACACTGAGGATAACGTAACATCTGACATCCAAACCAAAATTGTGTTACATGATCTTATGTGATCTCCCCTTCTTTTAAACATATGAAAAGAATTATTTATACCACTATTTATTAGACCCTCAAAGTTTGTCTTAATGCACATAAGTAATGCAAAAGGACTTAATATACAGAGACTCTAAAAGATCACGGTTTGGATCCTCAGAGGGTTTGGAAGATAGCAACTTCAGATGATACTAGGAGTGATTCAAGTTTCCGAGTTCCTGTGGGCCTGCTGTGGTTTGTTCCGTCTCACACTACAGGCCAAGATGCTAAGAGGATGGTCAGAAGTAACAGAACCGAAGACTGATGACTGAGGAAAGAGTGCAGCGTAGGACAACCAGACGTCGCTGGGATGACAGCATCATCCGAAAACGCAGCGAACCACCGAGTTACAACTTACCTGTGCTAAAGGCTTGGAACTTGGGTCCAATTTACTCCTGTGAATATCAAATTCAGCTCGCTTGTGCCAAAATCTCCAAGCATCTAATAAATTTCTGTAATTCTCAATCCAGTACTGAACCCTTTCATCTTTAAGAACATCTAAAGGTGAACCCTAAAAACAAAACAAATAATTTCAAATATTCAAATATTTCTTGACTAACAGACAAAAAAAAACAGACCTTTTTAAAACTTTTATTTAGACAAAAGCTGACTTCTAATGAAGATGCTGATAAACTGATGGAAGCCACATTGATTTACTTAGAGTTCACGCCCACTCCTGACACAAGCATGTACTATAAATACTACACCTGGCCCAGGAAGTGGATTACTCCATTTCTCAGTGTCGTTTAAGGAGTTGAGAGCAAACAATTCACCTTCCTGGTTGAATTCAGTAAGTAATGATGTAAATACCCTTTGCTGTAACAAAGACAATCCTGAGGTTCACAAATCCTGTACACTATCTAATCCAAATGCACACGCAAATCACTCAATCACATTTTAAGCCCCGAGTGTGGAAGCTAACAAGGTACTGCAGACTTGGATGCTGCATTTATATAGAAATGTGTTTCTTGGATGCAGTTAGAACAGACATTTATTAGCTTAAAAGAAAATTCAAAACAAAACTCTTAGTTTTTTGCCTTTAGGCCAGCAATCTGTGTTTTTAAAATTCTCAGTGAGAAGAGCTATGCAGTGCTCTAAAAGTTTTCCTCCAGCTCTATCTCCCTTGGATGCTGAGCTAAACCGATCCAAAGCCAGGAGTCAGGAGCTTCCTCCTGGACTCCCATGTGGGTGCAGGGTCCCAGGGCTTTGGGTCATGCTCTACTGCTTTCCCAGGCCACAAGCATGGAGCTGGATGGGAAGTGGAGCAGCTGGGACATGAACTGGTGCCACACATGGGATCCCGGCGTGGTGCCACATTACAAGGTTACCATGTCTGGCCCAGGAGTTTTTAAACCATTGTACAGTTAAAACTGAGAGAAAAACAGACAGCCCCAAATGACTCCCACCGATAATACAAAAGGAAAATAGGATATAAGAGAACCATCGTATAACTTGTCTCAGGCAATTCAAGGAGGCCTAACTGAGATCAGGGAAAGGGAATCTCACGTAGAAGGCTGGTTCTCACAACAATCAGAAAACCACAAGTGAGATTTCTTTTTTCCATTTAAGCCCTATGCAAACTGAAGTACAGCCAAGACTGGTACCACCAAACGTCACATGAGAAGATGTGGGGGTCAGTCACCTGAGGCACAGGTGTTCAGCTACTCAGCTGGTTAGGGTCAAGCTAAATGCAAGATCCAAAGCAAAGCCCGACTGCACCTCTCTTCCAGCTGAGGAAAGCACACACACCACATGGGCAAACTGCTCTTGTAGGCTGCCGTCAGCCACACTGACCTGCAGCATGCAGTAGCTGGCCGTCTGCACATCCCCTGTTCTGTCCACGTAGCTCTCCATTAAATCCACTCCGTCCTTAGTCAGGCCTGTAAGCAAAATGCCTTCCAAGTTGCCAGCTTCTTTCATTTCATTGGTCAATTTTTCAATGTATCTATTTAACTGGAAAATCCAAAGTGATTTTTCTAAAGTAAAGGTTTGCTAGAAGGATATTTTGTACTTCAAATCTACCACATTTAGAAAAACTTCAATCCTCCTGGAGAGTATTGGCTAAAATTCCCACATACTTACCAAGAAGTCTGCATCTATCTCTTTTAATGCAGTATCCATGGTCACTAACTAAACACTAAAAGACATTTGGTATGTTCTCATGATTATTTTAAAAGAACGATAGATGGTTTACAATTTTAAACAGAATTGTCCTCATCAGTCAGGAAAGTTTTGTTATTCATCACTGTAGTATATAAAGCCATAAAATCTGAGTTGGAATTTCAGATCATCAAGAAGTCCCATTCCAGCAATGGGGACTTGGCCTTGCTTGTGGCTTCAGTAAAGCAGCTCCAGCCACTAAGTGCAGCCTCCTGCTCGTCAGTGGGAGTGGTTTAGGCAATGAGCTCCCTGCCATCCTGGGTTGAACTCCCAGCTCCTGGCTTTATCCCTGGCCAGCCCAGACCACTGCAGGCATATGGGGAATGAACAAGCAGATAGAAGCTCCCTTTCTCTATTTCAAGTCGTTTCCTTACGTCTTCCGAGACATTATTCTGCCATAAACACCAGTCAAGTCTCCTCTTTATCACTCCAGGATTTTATCATTATTATAGTTCTTGACATACTGTTTTTACTATTTAAAAAAATTTCTTTATTTAATCTGAAAGGCAGTCTCACACAGGGAAACAGAGAAAGACATCTTCCATGTACTGCCTCACTGCCCAATGGCCACAAGGGCCAGGGCTGGGCAAGGTCAGAGCCAGAAGCCAGGAACTCTTTCTGGATCACCCACACTTACTTGTGGCAGGGACCCAGATACTTGGGCCATCACCTGCTGTCTTCCCAGGCACATTAGCAGGAAGCTAGATCAGGAGCCCAGCCGAGAAAACAGTAAGTACTGGGCATGACATAGCTGCACCCAAAGTGGTTTAACTTGCTGAGCCACATGCCAGCCCCACACTAACTCCTCTTACATGTATTTCTCCTTCACTAGATACAAAGCAGAGGCAGTCAGAAATGAATGTTCTGAAGGAGACTTTAGCATCGTAATAGCTTTTTACTCCATAAAGCAAAAATATATTAAAATACCAAATCAGCATTCCAAGTAAGTAAATTAAGCTATGCAAGACATGCATGTCTTGATAAATGCGTTTTCAGAAATGCTGCTACATTAAATCTCACTTATATGTAATTATGAAGATTTTAAAAAAAATATATGTATTTATTTGCAAGAGTTGCAGAGGAGGGAGAGGCAACGACAGAGAGACAAACAGAGACAGAAACAATCTCCCCCTGCTGGTTCACCACCTACACAGCCACGACGGCCAAGCCTGGGCCCAGTCAAAGCCAGCAGCATGTGAGCAGGGGCACCAGCACCTGGGTCGTCCTCCACCATCTTCCCAGGCCACTCACAAGGGGCTGGCTGGGCACCCAAACGGAACGCCAACACTGCAGGCTGTAGCCTCACAGCATGCCACATCGCAGGCTCCAAAGTTTCACTTCTTAAAATAATGATGTGACAGTGAATGTTACTCACTTCAAGTAGAGTTAAATCTGTTCTTACCTGAGCATCACTGAGGAATTTACAAGCAAATGCCACTCTGTCACGAACTGCAACTTTGTTTTCATACTAGGAAGAGAAAAAGCAGTTAAACTGCACATGCTGTAAGTTCTAAACTTTTACAGTCTAATTATGCACCTGGTTACTTTCAAATATATTAGTAAGTCACTGTACACATACTGACAGGGCCTTAAGTCATAAAATGCCTTACCTAACTCATACAAGATAGACAGTCACCCTGATGACAACTTTAAGATTTATGTACTTATTAATGCGAAAGAGTGACATAAATAAAGGGAGAGAGAGATATAGACATCCTACATTCCACTGGTCCTAAGCCAAGGACTAGGAATTTCATCAGGGTCTCCCAAGCAGGAGACAACTCAAGTCCTTGAGCACCACCTGGTGTTTCCCTGATATATCAGCTGAGAGCTGGACTCTTAACAAGAGGTGCCAGGGCTCCAACTGACACTGCTGTGGATTGTGGGAACCCCACGTGGTGGTGTGACTCACGGCTCCAGGACAACCATCCCAATGCACACAACATATTTACATAGCAAATTACATTTTATTTGCTTTTATTTGAAAGACAGATTTTACAGAAAAAGAAGGAGAGCTAGAGAGAGGTCATTCATTCATTGATTCACTCTCCAAATGGCCTCAACAGCCAGGGCCAATCTGATCTGAAGCCAGGAGCCAGGAGCTTCTTTGAGGTCTTCCATGTAGGTGCAGAGTCCCAGGGACTTGCGCCATCCTCCTCTGCTTTCCCAGCAAATAAGCAGAGAGCTGGATTGGAAGTAAGGCAGCCGGGATGCAAACCAGCACCCATATGGGATGCTGGTGCCACAGAATGTAGGATTAGCCCACCACTGGCCTCACAAATCATCTTTATGTTTATGTAGCTATAGATATTTAGAGCTCAGTTCTTAAGCTAAAGGAGTAAATCCTTACTCCTTTTTAATGTATAAATTACTAAAACTATAAAATGCAAATCCAACTTGATATCTGTTAACAAGCCTGGGCATCACACTCAAAAAGAGCTGCTGAAAATGGTTTCAGACACTTTGTTTAAAGCAATATACGCTCGGGGCAGATGTTGACCTGGTGGTTCAGCACTAGCTGAGACACACCTATCCGTTACTGCACAGCCGGCTCCGGCTCTAATGCCAACCAGGATCCTGCTCACCGGCAGCCCAGAAGTCCATAGATGACACCTCAAGTAGTAGGGTTCGGGTTCCTCACCCATATGGGGGGCTAGACTGAAGTCCCAGCTCTTGGCCTTAGTTCAGCCACTCCAGCTGCTGTACACATTTGGGGAGTGAATCAGAAGACAGAAGCGGTTTCTTTGTCTCCCAAATAAATAAGTAATACATATTCATAAGTAACAGACAGTACTTGATGGCAACAGACAATTTAAAGATGTCAACAGATAAAAACTTCAATTTTAATAGTTTCAATTTTATCATATATTAGTAAATATTATATAAACCAGAAATCAGCTTACCAAAACTCCATCGTAAGTTCCTGTTTCACTGGTCAGAAACGCGAACATGACACACAGGTATGGATTGTTCAGTTGCAATCGCAGGGTGCTGCACATTTCTCTCCAAAGGGAGTTTTTTTCATTTGTGTACCCTGACAAGGCCATGGCTACCACATTGAGATTCAGGTCTCCTGCATGTTAAACACACCAGGTTAATCAGAGTGAGCAAAGGTTCGATGTCGCCCACTGCAATAAGTTCAGCTTCAGAAAAGAACCTTAAATGTACCAAGAATTTTCCACATTTATTACAGAAGCATTATAGCTTTAATTTTGTTTCCTGAGTCTAATAAACTTCCGTTCAATCTATGTGCTTCTCACTTTGTTCTTAAAAGCCATATTTAGTTCCATAAGTATTTCCCCAAAACTAGTTTGTACTTGCTTCCCCTGCCTATTCTATTAAATTATATATAAAGTTTTTGAAAAATAACAATAAAAGCAGCAAAGGGATACATTTTGTTTCTGCATAAAACCATTTATTTTTAAGAGAAAAGGAATGTTTGGTTTGAAATTGTTTCTCTCTACCTTCACTGAATTACTACAATGACTGCATGAGCTTTTCTGGGGATTGTTAGTATGTCTCCATCTACAACCCAATTCTCCAGGTACACGTGACAGAAAAGGATCATGCTTTTAGACAGCAGCAAAATCATAATAGACTTGTAGAATTTAAATATTAAATTGTTTTTCATCACCACATACTTTATATTATGCATTCAAACAGGGATGATGTGGTTAGTGTAAAAGTTAAGAAGCAGGCACCTCAGGTTTTTCCCTATGGCTCACTCTAACTATAATGGTTTCAAAATCAACCAAAAGGTCTTGGCACAGTGGCCTAGTGGCTGAAGTCCTTGCCTTGTGTGTGCCAGGATAGCATATGGGTGCTGGTTTCTAATCCTGGTGGCCTTGCTCCTTGCTTGTGGCCTGGGAAGGCAGTAGAGAATGGCCCAAATCCTTGAGACCCTGCACCCGTGTGCGAGACACAGATGAAGCTATGGACTCTCAGTGTTGGATCGACGCAGTTCCATTTGCTGTGGGCACTTGGGGAGTGAATCAGTGGATGGAAGATCTTCCTCACTGTATATCTGACTTTCCAATAAAAATAAATTAATCTTTAATTTTAAAAAGTTTATGAGCTATTTTTTGAAGAAAAAGGCATTAAAATGGACATATTTGAGCACTTCCTATAATATATTTTTGTTTTTATACACCTAAAGGAAGATACAAATGAAAAGAATGGGTTAATATCTAGAATTGTGCTCTTTCAACGAAAATTTACATAAAAATATTGACCAGATACTTGAACATGAACAGCCTTGTCTAGAGTTCTATCAACACAACTAAGTACCTTTTTCTGAAGATGCCCCTTCGTTCAGGATCTGGATTGCTCGCCGAATATCCAAGTTGAACAACGCCACAGCAGCAGCTCTTTCCCACTCCCCCTCTTGTACGAGGGAGTTCAAAAAGGGCCCTACATCCACATCCGTTCCCTTCCTTATCCACCCACAAAGCTGCAAAGCTAAGATTCTTTCTTCATTTAAATTCTGAATATCAGCTTGCTTATCCAACCCACTCCAATTGTGTCTACTGCTTTCCACCATTCCTAAAAAACAGAAAATATATTCACATATTTGGCTATTTTTAAGTATACTTGGAAAATAAATCATTTCTACAAAGAAATATTTCAACGATACACTTAAGCATATTCAGAGATGGGGGTGTTTGGCTTAGTGACTAAGAAGTCAGGATGCTGCGTCCCACGTCCAGGGGCTGGGTTGGATTCCAAGCTCCAGCTCCTAATTCCAGTTTCCACCAGTGCATACTGCAGAAGGCTGCAGGTTCCTGAGTTCCTCCCACCCCTGTGACAGATCTGGACTGAAGCTCTGATCACTGAGGGCATTTATGAAATGAACTGATGGATGGACTCTCTCAAATAATAAAAAATACACATGTTCAACCTCTTAGCTGCAGTTTTACGTCAGTACAGATGTGAACCAGGCCACAAATCAAGCATCACTGAGCTGCTTCTTAGCAAGAGAGAAGCGAGACGCGCTGAAGGAGCGGGCTGCTCCACGGGCTGGTTCACTGCTGCCTCCCTGACCTGCAGGTCACAGCAGACACACCCCTTCCTAGCTCAGTCACCACCCATGCTTCTATGTCTTACCCAAACTCCCATATTTTATTCACTGATTTATTTTCCAGTCTATCTCTTCTTTCACTAAACTACAGGATCCAAACCATAAGGTACTGCCCCTGCCCAGTGTGTGTGTCTCCCTCCCTCCTTTCCTGCTCTGTGCGTACAATACATGAGAAAAACGAGAAGGATTCAAGTACCTGGAACACTGAAGACAAATACTAGCACAGAATTCTGTGAAGGGTTTTCCCCCCGGTATACATCAGAAAACTTCATATTCTAATCTTTTTTTCTAACAAAGCAGTACTATTCTCATAGCATTATTTACTCTGCAATTAATCCTAAAAGTAGAGTAATGTAACATGGGATGAAATTGCTGCCAAATAAAGACAGAGTACATGAAGATGAAACTTCACACCTTTACTAACCACAACTCGAAACACTGTAGCATGCTGCATCATCAAAGTTGTCACTATGTGATTACCTCTTATGGTAATTACATGGATTTTCAAAATAAACTCAGTTATGAATCAGGCAACATAATGGTCTAATATTACCAACTTTATTATCTTTGCAAAAATTTGTATTTGCAACTTGCAATACTCAGACATTTACATAATTACATACGATACCACAATAATACATTAGTATATAACTAGACTAATGGAAAGCAGACAGGTTTCCAGAAATCTTATTGGAAATATTTACAAATCTCATTAATGGGCATTGCAGCCACTTGGGGAGTGAATCAGCAGTTGGAAGATATTTCTCACTGTCTCCTTCTCCCTGTAAATCTGACTTTCCAATAAAAACAAATAAATCTTAAAAAAAAAAAAACAAAAGGAAAGACATCTCACATCAGAGCTCGGTGGCTGCAGGCAGGCAGGAAGGGCTCCCTGACACCTGCACCGTGGCAAGCACACACTGTATAATTCAGTGCAGGTGGGCTGATTGCTAAACTACAGATTATTTGCATATAGGAACTGAAATTTTTTTGCACCAAATTAAACTTCCCTTTTAATTCTACCCTACACTCTGAAGTACACTCACAGAGCAGAAGTAAAAGCATATGCAGATCAGATATAAACGAGGTCCTGAACTCAGCTGACTGGATCAGATGGAGACCTGCAATGCGGGCCTGGCCCATCGGCGGGACCTCGACAGAGGTGTGGAGGTATAGAAAAGTGACACGATAGAGAAACTGCTTCTCTTAATCTCATGAAAGGCTGTCAAGCAATGAAGGTCTGTGAGAAAACCACTGGCAACAGGGAGCAGCAACTGCAAAGAGCTAAGTTCTGTCAGCAGCACAGGAAGCTGAGAGCTGACATCTGCCTGCGAAGGAGGCAGCAGGGCCAACCTCAGCCCCGTGGCCAGCCCAGCCATGCCCACACACATACACAGAAATGATGCAGCCACACATGAGAAACAAGTAAATATCCTACATAATGCCTGGAAGAACAAAAACAGTACGTAGAAAGGCATAAACTGCTCCACTACAGCTAATCCATACTTCTAAATAACTTGTGTGATTATCTGACATGGGTTGCGGGAAGTACAACATCTAAAGCACCACCTGTGTTAGCGCATACCTGACTGCTTTCCAGAAAGATGAATTACTTGTAAATGTCTGGAAACTCAAAGAGCCAATTACACTTGAAATTTATTTTACTTCTGAAAAGAAATTCACTGATTTTAATAGGACTTCCCACCCACCGAAATGAGGAAGCACTCTGCCCTATTTGTAACCAGGAGGGAAAGTCTGCCTAAAGACAAAATTCAATACTGGCTTTTGAAAGTGAGTTAGTTTTTAATAACTTCTTATGAAGATGTTGAGTGATTAAGTTAATAAACACTCATTTTAAAAGTTAGGGGCTGGCAAGGTGGTACAGCCAGTTAATCATCCACTTTTGGCACTGGTATTCCATGTGGGCACAGGTTCATGTCCTGGGTGCTCCATTTTCGATCCAACTCCCTGCTTATGGCCTGGGAAAGCAGGGGAGAATGGTCCAAGTTCTTGGGACCCTGCACCCACACGGCAGACCCAGAGGAAGCTCCTGGTTCCTGACTTTAGATTGGCTCAGCTCTGGCCATTGCAGCCATCTGGGGAGTGAACCAGCAGATGGAAGACCTCTCTTTCTTTCTCTCTGGAAAACCTGCCTGTCAAACAAAATTAATCTTTTAAGAAATTAATCAAATCACATATTTTGAATAACAAATTTAAATTCTTAGGTTGAATGTGGTCATTAAATTTCAGCTGAAACAAACTGCAGGTACATTTAAGATGTTTACTTTTATAGCTCTTATACATTTTGGGTTCAAAATTGGTATTATTTAGTTGCCAGTAAAATAACAGTTCAGGGGTGGGTGTCTGGCATGGTGGTTAACAGGCTGCTGAGGATAAAGAATCCCCCGTGGAAGTGCCCGGTTCAAGTCCCGGCACCGCTTACTTGGGGTTCAGCTTCCTGACAGCATGAGCCTGGCAGCAATGGCGGTAGCTCAGGTCTTGAGTCCACCGCCACCACACCGGCCCCTGGGGTTAGGCCTGGCCCTGCCCTGGCTATTTTGGACATCTGGAAAGTGAATGAGGATGTGCAAGACCTTTCTCTTTCAGATAAATGAAAAATGATTTTTTAAACATATTGTTTTTAAAATCCTGTTAAAATAGGTCAGTATAAAGCAGAAATTTATTTTTCCAAATGATCTCTTAAAGTTTCATAATAAACAGTTTTAGAGTTCTATTTTATAAAGCTTATGTCATGAGACCAATATATGTGAACCCAGGGTTCACTGGTGGGAGATGAACTGTATGTCAAAGGCATGAATTCTGTATCCTGTATTTTGGCTCCTGAGAGACCTTTTTATAACCTGACAACTGCTACAAAAAATGGGGGTTATCATGGGACTTCTAGGGGGAAGGAAGAGACAGAGAGATACAGTTCATGTTCACTGGTTCAGTTCCCGAGTGCAGGCAGTAGCCAGCGCGTAAGGCCAAAAGCTGGGATCTGGAAATTCAATCCGGGTCTCCTATGTAGATGGCAGGAATTCTATCACGTGAGCCATCCCACTACCTCCCAGCACCGGCAGAAAGCGAGCCAACAGCCAGAATATGGAATCGAATCTAGGTACTCTGATATAAGATGAAGATGTCTTAAATACTAGGCTAACATCACTACTCCTACCATGGGTTTTTTTTTTTTTAAAGATTTTATTATTTTTTTTCATTGGAAAGGCAGATATACAGAGAGGAGAGACAGAGAGGAAGATCTTCCACCAGATGATTCACTCCCCAAGTGAGCGCAACGGCTGATACTATGCCGATCCGAAGCCAGGAGCCTCTTCCGGGTCTCCCACGCGGGTACAGGGTCCCAAGGCTTTGGGCCGTCCTCGGCTGCTTTCCCAGGCCACAGGCAGGGAGCTGGAAGAGAAGCGGGGCTGCCAGGATTAGAACCGGCGTTGCCAGGATTAGAACCGGCGCCCATATGGGATCCCGGGCGTGCAAGGTGAGGACCTTAACCACTGCTCCACCGCGCCAGGCCCCTACCATGGGTTTTAATAAAAATATTTTTAGCACGTGTAAATTCTTAGTTAATCCATGAAAAAGCATTAAAATCTATTTATGTACATCATATTACACAAAAGAAACAAAACTATATTCTTGAATTTGAAATTGCTCTTATATAAACAGAATATTTTATTAATGATTCTGAGTTTACATAAACACTGGCATGTTTAAAACAATTTGCTTCAAATCAGTCATCATAGACAAGATCATCTAAAGATGTTAATATTATTGTATTGTTTTGCCTCTTTCATCAAGCAGTAACATCATCCATTATTTATGAGAACATTTTGGTGTTAAACTAAAATCCTAGCTATTTTATCCCTTAAAAATCACTTTGAACAGACCAGTTCTCTAGGTTAGAGTTTACTCTTTAAGAATTAAATATGTGTGTATCACGTTTGGAATTGAAAGTTAGCCAACACTTAATTCCCACCATCTTTAAAGCAGTGTATTATTCTCAGATAACACTGTGAACATTATCATGCAATATTATTCAAGGAACTTCCTCAGAGCATCTGTTCTGATCTGGCTGACTTCTACACAAGTTTTTTCAATAAACGTGTGTTTCTTCGCTTCCTGGCTTTCTGAGTTCCAATGGTTTGCACCTCCCGAGACTTTAGCTACTTCTTTTATGGACACAACTCTAAATTGTTCTCCCTGCAAAACAGTTCCTTTATAACCGAAACTACCTAACTTCTCAGAAATTTCACTTCCTCCACATTTTCAACCCTATGTTGTCATCTATCACTCGTTTACGTTTTCCAGTATTGTCCTGTCTTGGTTGTCATCACTATCAAAATGGCCAATGAGTGAATCACGGTTTTGAAAATATTCTTATTCCTCCTGTTTTACTCTCCATTATTTTGTCTCTGGTAAAATAGTGCTAGCCTGCAGTCAGCACCCCAAGGTTTCTGCGGACAACTCTCCTCCTGTCTTGTCCCTGTATGCTGCCTGTAATGCTTGTCCCTGTAATGCTGAGCTCTCTGGTCATTGTCCCTCTAACATGTCCATGCCAGCTCCTTCCCACTTTCCCTTCAGCTTACCTAGAGGAGGTGTGTCCCCTACTGTCCAAAGCCCTGTCTCGGACCTGATCCACTGTCTCCCATGACCAGAGAGCTTGTTATTCCTGTTATTCCGACCCCTTCAAGTCACAGCTGCATGCTCTTTCTTGCTTCCTTTCGCCAGCATGTACACATGCGTAAATCAGTCCCAACACACAGCAACACAAAAGCCTAGCGTGACTCAGACCTGTCTCCTGCTATGAATATCTTTTTACTTCTTTGTATAGTCGAGCTTCTCGAATTATTTATAACTGATGACTTCACTTCTTCAATCCACTCTAGATTTCTAATCCAATTGCAAACTGCCATGCCAATATTGAAGCTCTTTCCCCTATTACTACTCATTTTTAGTTCTTGGATTACTTTTCAGTTTTTGTATTACTGACTCATTACTCATTACTGATTTTTCTCATCCAGATGAATTTATGACCTTTTGGTTTTTCTTCTATCTCACTTTCCAAACCTCCTCAGTCTACCTGAAGCCATTTCTTAGACCATTCATTTTTGCTCTGTCTTGGGAAAATATCATGTGCTCCATTAACTTTTATTCTAACCCACTTAGTTATACTTCTCACATAAACTTTGAATCTATATTCTCTTGTTCAGTGGGCATCCTACCTAGCCATTTTGACTCTGACTTGCTCCAAAATAAACAGTTTCCCCTATTCTCATCTAATTAACTGGTATCATAATCAGCTAATTTTCTAAGATAAATACAAGTGTCCTTTGGTTTTTAATCTCTACCCCTTCATCAAATTAATCATTAATTTTTCCCTACACTCTAATTCATTCCTATTGGGCCTGGCACAATAGCCTAATGGCTAAAGCCCTCATCTTGCATGCATCAGAATCCCATATGAGCACTGGTTCACTTCTTAATCATCCCACTTCACATCCAGCTCCCTGCTTGTGGCCTGGGAAAGCTGTTGAGGATGGCTCAAAGTCTTGGGACCTGCACCTGTGTGGGAAGAAGATCCTGGCTCCTGGTTTCAGATTGCCCCAGTTCCATTTGTTGCAGCCACTTGGGGATTGAACCACCGCATGGAAGAACTTTTTCTCTGCCTCTCCTTCTATCTGCAAATCTGACTTTGCAATAAAAATAAACGAATCTTATAAAATTAATTCCTTCATATTGCTCCAGGTTCATCTGCTACTAACCTTGGCAAGAACACCTTTCATTTTTGGCTGATCACTGTAGGTTTCTACCAGGTGTCCCAACTACCAACTTGGATCCTCCCTTGACCCTACACACACAGTGACAAATCTAATCTTGCCACAATCCTTTCAAGTCCTCCTTCAGTAAATCTCGCTCAACCTTTAACATGATTTCAAAGTCCTTCCTGAGAGAGCCTACAGTTTACTTTTCTGCCCTCCATTCTTATTTCCTCTCTCATGCAGCTCCATACTAATATTTCTACATTTTCTTCCTGGGTCACTGCCTATGTTCTTCCCTATCTGGACTTTGTTTCTGCCTCCACGTCCTCCAATAAAGCTCTAAACATTCCTGTCAGATACTTCTTGTACAGAATTTTCTCCCTTGTGTTATAACTGCTTGTTTACTTGTCCACTGTCAGCATAGAATGTAAACTACCCAATGGGGAAGGCACAGTCTTGCTCACCCTCTACTAGGAAAGGCGCGATCTATCTCGCTGACAGTTATATTTCAAGAGCGTAGGTTCATTTCTGGGACACAGAAAGCATGAACAAATACTGGCTGAATGAGGAAACTTACCTCACATGATAATTAGATAAGTTAATGCATCATGAATTTATTAATCATTTGATTCATGTGGGTAAAACAACTTTACGTTTTTATGTCATTATGTCTAATTCACAGTAAGCACTGTTACGGTTTGTCACCAAACTAAAAAATAGCTCTGTGCTCTAATAAATGCACATACATAGGTTAATGTAGGCAAGATCATTCAATGTGTTCATTATGTATTTACTATTAGACCCAAAATTAAAGAAAGAGGTCCTGCCATGTAAAACGGAAATGAGATCCATCAGTGCCATCTTGGACAGTAATTTGTATTCTTTTTGCCTTTATGTAGTAAGAATAAAAGCAAAATACAAACCAAGATAGATCTAGTCATGTGGAAACCTGACTACTGTGACTCAAGGGTAGATGGCTCGGCTGGTCTCCACCAGGGTCACAGGGATATTCTACTCTGCCTGAGTGTTCTCAGAAGTAGGCTGCTAGCATTTCTCTACAAAGTGTCAAAGTGCAACACACACAATAACCATTTCAGAATAACATGGCCTGATTTTAAACAGTTAACATATTGTAAGTTCTGCAAACTTGGTGCTTAATGTTTCCCAGCAGTGGCACTAAAATCTAAAATCATGAACCATGTTTACTCCAGTTCATTTGTCAGGGTAATTCACTGTGTTTGTCCTTTTGCCTATGTCAACAAAAACAGTAGTTTCTAATTAAAGCCATTCATTTTACTATTTTTAATAATTTTTTTTTTAGAACACTAAAATGAAATAGATAAGAAATCTATCACTCCATTCAGCAATGGAGGTCAAAGTCACCTCAAGTCCCCTAAGGGTCTCTGGCTCAAAAAGCAAAAACAAAAACAAACAAACAAAAAGCTGCATGTACAACTTCTACTGTTCCTGACTAAATAATGTGAACTACTAACTACTTTTTTAGCATCTTGACTCGGATCTAAACATGATCACCAAAAGCTAAAGATCAAACACTTGGTTGAGGAGATAATTATAATAAAACCCACAATAAAATCCTAATAAAAGCAGTAATACCCAATGCTTACAGCAGTCAGTGAAAACAGAAGTTTTCATAATTCTTAGGTAATGTATTAATTCCACTCTTACATCAATTCACTCTTTGAGTGATGAGAGTCGGCTTCACGCATGGCCCCCTCATACTAGACTACACTCGAGTCATAGTTAATCCTTGCAATCAGATGGCTACTTGAACTATCTGGACAGCAAACAGATCTAGGTTTTGAAAAGCAAATGATGTGATAAAACTTGAATTAGCAGTCTACATCTTATAAATCAATTATGTGCAAAGCCACTGAAAGAGAGTCAAAAAACAACACTGAGTAAATGAATACACCTCACAACATCAACGTCACTTCAAAGAACCAAGACCATGTCCCAGGTATGAATGTACTTCACTCAACAGCCAGCTACATCATCTAACCAGAAAACCAAAACAGAAAAAGGATATTTACATAAATAACCCTAACATAAACAGTGAGGACCAAAACAAAGGGTACGAAAGTTTAAAAACACACTGAAGAAAAAAAACTGAAATTTTCTTACCCAAAGATGATTTTACAATTGACTTAATTCCTGCATAAACCAATGATCCTTTGTTGCCTGGAGACTTCTGATCCACATCTTCTGTATATTGTTTCATAAGTATTTCAATGTATAGGAAATACTAACTGATGACGTATGAGAAAATATCTCAAAGCTAACCATATCCTGATTTGGATCCAATTCATAACAGGCATCAGGGAAAATAAAGTGACTCTGCTATGCATTTTCTTCCTCCTACACTACTTGCAAAGCAGTATTTCAAGTTCAAGAGTTTTGACTAATTCACTTCATTAACTTTAGAATTACATAATGTGTACTTGCTTATAAAACTGCTGGCATATTTATAAGCTGACCTTTCAGCAAACTTACAGACATCCCCTGCCTTCCTAATGTGACACAACTGAAAGGCAAAGGATATAGTGCAGAGTGTACCACAGTGACTTGAGCTGTGGGTCTTCATCTCCAGCTAAAACGTGATTCCTCCACAGCTGCTCTGTGTCGAGCCCGTACCTCGACAGGGCCCGGAGGCGCATCTTTGTGGCTATATCTTTTTCTAAAGAACTATCGTTTTCTTCTTCTGTGCATTCATACAAATGACGGCCACAAGCCCACATTAAAGATGTAACGGGACTCCAGGCAAGGGATATCCTTTCAAAAACAGTAAAGTCAGACATCGTTCGGTTGGGAGTTAAAACGATCATTCGATTTTGACTTGTTGGGTGCCATGCAAAGGAAGCAATGTAATTGTCACAGGGTTGCACGCTTCTTTCAATAATTGTGGGCTCAGTTTCATCCCCAATAGGAGTGGGTGTGTGCTGCATATCATACAGTCTAATGATATTACTATCCCTTGTTAAAGTGGCAAGCAGACCAGTCCTGGTTGGACACCATGCTACTTTGGTTAAGGGCTTTGGTTGCTCAGTTAAAGTCAGAACTGGCTTCTCAAATTTTCTAAGGTCCCATATTGCAACCTGACCTTCATAGAAGGAAGCTACACGATCATGGAAGTATGGGTCGACAGTCACCCCCTGAACAGCTTTTGTATTTACAAACATCTTCTGGCTCGTATTCCGAAGATCGAATATGGCTAGGTTCCGATGCATACCAGCCAGGAGAAGTTTCTGGTCTCGTGGAAGCCAACAGAGAGAGAGACAAGCATCATTTTGTCCTAATTCATAAAGCGGCTTTGTTACTAATAACGTGCTTTCCGTTTCGCCTGCTGAAAGTCTCACTTTTTCCATGGGAACTACATCAGGCGTATATTTGCTGCAGATATCCCATATCAGCACAGAGAAGTCTGCTCTGTGCTTATCGAGACCAGCAGCAAGCCAGTTACTATCCAGAGGATTCCATGCAAGGGTATTGCATTGTCGTGCATGTTTTGGAACAAACTCTTTCCCAATCAAATCTTTGAACTTGGAGTTATGATCCTGACCAAGACTTGTAAGCACAACTCGACCGTTTGCTTGTCCAACTGCCAGGAGACATTCAGGATCATAATTGAGATACCAGGCAACGCATTTCATGTAAGGTGTATCTGAATTGATTGACAGCAACGTGGCTGCAGAGTCCTCGGATAAACGTAAAGATCCAGCTTTGAGTTCTGAATTCACAGTAGATTCCACATGGTACAGGCTCAGTTCTGAGTCGCAGACAACAAATCTGTCAACTTGGTGTGGTGCCCACAAAATGTCAGGTTTGGTACCACTCATGTTTACGGATGTGCTCACGGAGTCCAGTCAGGTCCATGCACTGAAAGTATTTAAAGGAAGTGTTAAAATACCAACCAAATACAATTATGAATTTAAATAAACTATTTAGGAAAATCAGGAAATTGTCTACACAAGTATCCTCTTTTTCAATGTTTGTTATTTTTTCATCCACCATGAAGGCATATTTATGAATTAAGTGAAAGAAAGAAAAGTCAGAACTTTCTCCAATAAAATGAACTAGTAGGGACATGAGAACTCCATTCTGGCCTTATTTCCCAAGATCAATTATTTTAATTGCACTGTTACTAGTACTTCCAATATAACCTCTGAGTTATAATAACTTTAGCGTGGTGAGCAAATTAGTAAGTGCCACCACCCTTTGAAGACAAGAGAACTAAGAAATGTTATGAGTTGTGCTCCTAAGCAATAGGGCAGAGCAGCTCTGCTGTCCAAGAGGGTAGCCACTAGCCACTTGTGGCTACTAAGCGTTAGAAATGTGACTGGTTCATACTTTAAAATAAACAACCAAATGTGGCAATCATAATACACAAGCATAATACACAATTTAAAGCACACTGTGGTCCTGAGAAAGAGGGGTCTTACAAATACCAGTGGAAGACAAAAGGCATTAATAAGGCAGAATAAACTGTGGAGCTCAGTAACAAACACAACTTCCCTCCCGAGCTCTCCTACATCCTAGTTCTGACCTTCAGAAAAGCCACGTTGTGTGGGAAGCTCCCTTGCTCCTGCTCTACACAACAAAAGCTGTTTAGATGAGTACTTCTTGAAACTCTTTCACGTACTATCTGGACCCCTATTGACTTATTTTTAAAAATCAGAAAATTGACCTTAACATAATCATAAGGTCTATGGATGGCGGTTACATTAGCCAATAATATTTTGTCTAAAATCTGCTAAAATACATGACTATTAAAAAGCATATAAACTTGTGTAGAAGCCTCCCATTTACAGTCAGCGGTACACACACATACTTACTAGAAGCTGTCTCAGACTTGGACTCTATGAACTTTTGAACAGTGCTGAAATGGGATTTTTGAGAAGATACATATTCTAGAGGTTTTAGCACAAACTAAAAAAACTTATGATTAAAAATGACATTTTTAACAAAAGTTTGTTTGCAAAAGCTTCTTTTATTAAGAATTTGAGGAGCAGAAAGAGAGGTTTCCCACCCTCACTGATACTTTCCCCAAATGTCTGCAATGACCAGGTGGGTTACAGGTGGAAGGCACTCAACCTGGGTCTCCCACATGGGTGGCAGGAGCCTGAGTACTTGGGGCCCAGCCGTGCACTGGGAGAGCGGAGCCTGGACTGAGACACTCGCAAATGGGATGTGCAGGCTTTACGCAGAACCGGAACTGCTATACCAAATGTCCTCTCCTGTCTACAATCACTGAGATGCCTAACAGAAACGGGTGAGAGGTAAGAATCTGGGTCCAAAAGGAGCTTACATGCATCGCAACTTGTACCTGCACAGGCTCACAGTTCTTAGAGGGTGAAGCTTTGGTTCACTCATCTCTCTATCCCCGGCACACACACAGGCTGAGCATCCCTAATGCAAACTTGGAAATGCCCCAAACCTAAAGCTACTGAGTGTGGTATGACAGCGCTAGTGGAAAATTCTAGACAGGTCAGAGTAAAACTGCAGGCACATAAAACAAACAAATGAACAAACAATAGCAACAACAATAATTTACTCTTCAGCTAAGCTATATTCAGAACAAAACACAAACGAATTTCTTTATACATGGATTCTAGCCCAAGCTATCTCATTCTAAAAATTCTAAAAACAAAAAAATAATAAAACTAAAACCCTTTTGTCCCAAGCATTTCTGACAAGAGATATCCAACATATACCAAACAATTCACCTCAACCATATTTGCTTTACCCTTTGATCTTCAGTAAAAATTACTGGTCTAGAATTTCATAGACTCACATAATTAAGATGATTAGGAAAAACATAAAAGTCTTACTTTCTGGCTTTACTTTTTTTCTTTCTTTCTTTCTTTTTTTTTTTTAGCATTTCTGAAGTCCAGGACCACTTTAATTATATAGGGACTAGCCTCCTCAAGTTCCTGATTCCCTCAGCACTTCCAAGGTTTTTCAATCCTAGGTCAACCTAATGATCTTCTGTCCAGGCAAGCTTCTGCGTTTCAGCAGAGGGAAGTCAGGGTTCTGAAGTTGTAAGAATGGAAAGGTGAACAATATAGCTGCCCGAGGGGGCTGACTCAGCCATTCTTCCACCCTTTGTTCTATTCTAGTCCTTTAGAAATCCACCTGTTCCAACATCAGAATCATCTTTTCATTTTAATTTTCTATGTATTCTTATTTTATTAACTGTGAGGCAGAGACAGAGAAGAATCTCCTATCCACTGATTCGCTCTCCAAAAGCTGCCAACAGGCAGTGCTGGGCTGGCTACACCCAGGAGCCAGAAGCTCTGACTGCCTCCCACACAGAGGGCAGAGACCCTAGCATCTGCTGCTGCCCAGAATGAGTCTTAGCACACAGCTGGAGTCTGGAGCAGAACAAGGATTCCAACCCAGTCACTCCAAATGGGACGTGGGTGCCCCTGCTGTGACAAACACCTACCCAGAAAATAAACTGTTTTTTAATGACACAATGCTGACCAGGTTATTCAGTCCCTGCTTAAAACCTTGTAATGTTTTGCAACTGCTCTTAGTATGCAGAATTCAGAATCCTCAATATAACCTCTAAGGCCATACATGTCTTTGGCATCCACCTGCTCTACCCTGATGGGCACATCCTCCCCCTGCTAACTGCAGCTGCACTGTCCTTTCTGCTTCCTAGAACAAACCTACCTCCCCAGCGCCACACCTTTGCAGGTCCTCCGGGAGATGCGCACTCTTCTCTCTCCTTCTCGGACAGGACAATGCCTGCTCCAGTGTTACACGAGTCATTCTCCATACTCCCCCTTCAGGACAGGTAGGATTACTCATATACACCTGTACTGAAATGTCTCCCATTTCAAATCACTGTGTCTATCTCTTCTACCAGAGCCAGTGTAAGCTCCTTAAGAGGAGGTGAAACGCTTTCACTCCACTGTACCCTCAGAACTCAGCACAATGAAAGACACTCAGGAGTTGGTCAATAAGTTCTTGCCAACTAATGCATGTACTAAATAGTCCCCCTAATATTTCTCCCAGGACCTGATATCCCGATAGCCTTCCTGGCAGAAGCTGGGTCAAGCCAAGAGCAAGGCACCCTCAATGACGGGCAAGAGTTGTAAAGGGAGCCATCCTAAGACAGGATTTATCCTAACTAAATTATTTCCCCCTTGATTCTGTAACTGTACTGAATGCTGGGAACAAGACAGTGAATAGGGTGGAGGATCAGGCCCCTGGTCAATTAGAAATTTCATTCCAGTGATGCAGTTCAGTCTAATCTTAAGGGTTCAAGACAGTACGAATGAAGAGGAGGAATGGCACCTCAAACAACACGAAGTAGCTAAGACAGCAAAGAGGAGACAGACAGTGCCATACAAGGGTTTACACTCACATCTTCCAAGACAGAATACATTCATTGGTGATACTCTAAGAACTAACCCATCTTCCTATGTTGCTGAAAAGTAAAATAGGCATTTAAACAAAATCTATAACCTTATTCACATAACAAATAGTCTGATAAAAAAAAAAAGCTAATGCCACAGGGCTGTGGCTCAACAGGTTAATCTTCCATTGCAAGTGCCAGCACCAGTTGTACGGGCAGCAGTTCAAATCCTGGCTGATCCACTTCCAATCCAGCTTCTTGTTTATAAACTGGGAAAGCAGTGAAGCACGGCTCAAGTTCTTGGGTCTCTGCACCCATACAGGAGACCTGAAGAAAGCTCCTGGCTCCTAGTTTCAGATCAGCATAGCTCCTATCATGGTGGTCATTTGCAGAGTGAAGCAGTGGATTCAAGACCTCTGTCTCTCCTATTTGCAAACCCGCCTTTCAAATAAAAATAAACATTTTTTAAAGATTATTTAGTTTATTGGAGGGTAAGATTTATAGACAAGGACAGTCAGAAACATCTTCCATGTGGTGGTTCATTCACCAAGTGGCCACAATGGTTGGAGCTAAGCGATCCAAAGCAAGGAGCCAGGAGCTTCTTCTGGGTCTCCCAAGGGGGTACAGTGTCCAAGGATTTGGGCCATCCTCTACTGCTTTCCTAGACTACAAGCAGGGAGCTTTATGGAAGTGGAGCAGCCAGGACACGAACTGGTGTCCACATGGGATCCTGGCACATGCCAGGCTAGGACTTCTTCGGTCACTAGGCTACTGTGCAGGGCCCAAAATAAAAAAGTGTTAGAGAAAAAAAAAAGTTGGTGACACATCACATTTTTCTTTTTTAATTTATGTGGAAGACATAGAAATGATTGCAAGAAAGCTGAGCCATGGAGATCTTCCACATGCTACTTCATTCTCCAAGTGCCTGGAACAGTCAGGACAAGGCCTGGGCAAAGCCAGAAGTCCAGCACTGCACCCCCATCTCCCACGCAAAAGGCAGGGACACAAGGCAGGGAGCCATTACCTCTTGCCTCCCAGGATGCACATCAGCAGCAAGCTGGATGGGAAGGAGAGCAGCCGGGGCTGGGAACGAGGCACACGGGTACTAGATGCAGGCGTCTCAAGCTTCCATCATAACGTCTGCGACACAAAACCCACACAAGAAAAACCCATCTTACAAATCACAAATGAGAAGTGTATAAGACTATGATTATAGAAACTCTTGATTTACATGGTTATCAACAGAGACTCATCACCAGCATTTCTTGTGGTGTTATACACTTTATTTATACTACAACCCTTAAAACCTGTTAGTCATATAGAATCACAGGACTGCAAACAGAAGATCAACAAATTTCACATGGGACAAAATGAAAAGACTAGATGTCTTGGCTCCTGGCTCTTAAACCAATGACTTAATTTGCAAGACCTGTGCAATACAAAAATGCAGTGCTCCCTCATCTAAAACCTTCAAGACAGATGCGGTAGAGTACACCGAGCTGCTCTACAATCCGCACACTGCGGAGGGGTCCATTTACAGAACTACCCTTTCCCGAAACGCACCTCTTCACAGCGCAACGCACAGCGGAGTTGGAGCCTTGCTCGCGACACACACCACTGGGAATCCGGTCCACAGCAAAGGACAGGACCCGGGCGCCGAACTCCTCCAGCCACTGACCAGCTCACAAAGCCCGGAGTCCGCCCTAGTTCTACCTCAAAGTCGTGACAATCCAGAGACAGCTCTTGGCATCACCGAGTCGGATTGTTAAGAGCTCAGGAAGCTTATCCTTCCAAATACTGCTGTCCTTGAGAAGTCGGGTGTATAGGGGGGCAGAGGTAGGTGGAGTTTGTAACAATCACCCCTTCTAGGAGCTCCTTACCTTCAAATGTAACAAGTGTTCTCATCAATGCTTTCTTAGCCGACTATGCCTTCATCATCAGACCCCCCACAACAGTGCTATCCCACAAGAAACACGGCTTGAGTCACATTTACAAAGAACGAATGAATCAAGAAAACCAACGTATCAAAAATAGTATCCTTTCAGCACAGAACCCATTTTAAAAAAGTGGTACCGGGCCCGGAGCGGTGGCGCAGTGGTTAAGGTCCTCGCCTTGCACGCCCGGGATCCCATATGGGCACCGGTTCTATCCCGGCAGCCCCGCTTCCCTTCCAGCTCCCTGCCTGTGGCCTGGGAAAGCAGTCGAGGACGGCCCGAAGCCTTGGGACCCTGCACCCACGTGGGAGACCCGGAAGAGGCTCCTGGCTTCGGATCGGCATAGCATTGGCCGTTGCGCTCACTTGGGGAGTGAATCATCTGGTGGAAGATCTTCCTCTCTGTCTCTCCTCTCTGTATATCCGCCTTTCCAGTAAAAAAATAATAATAATAAATCTTAAAAAAAAAAGTGGTACCCAGCCATGGAAATCCTATGTGTCCTCAGTAGCTCACAGCGCTTTTCAAGTCCATGTGGCTAAGGGGCAGTCAAGTCCAATGCACTCTGACTGCACGAAGTGTACAAAGGGGCCGACCACATGCTTTGGGCCTCTTACGAAAAGTGACAAACAGGAGGGCCGTATTTCAGATCTCCACGGCGCGCCTCCAAGCTCTCCTTATGCAGATCTCCTTAAGCAAACGGTCTGCGAAAGCAGTCCTTTGCTGAAGCGCCTCGGCCAAGCTCGGGGCATCTGCAAGACTTCTCTACCCTCTGAAGGAATTCTCACGGCTCGACGAAGGGAGCGGAGGCGGCTCGGGGGGGAGAAAGGCCCTTGAAGAAGTCCTGAGCAGGGCGTATGCAGCCATTCCGGGTAAACCGGCCACCTGACGGCCACTCCCACGCGCCAGACACCTGGCCCAGCCTCCCGTCCACGCCGGGGACGCGACTCCTCCGCCCGGACCCGCCGCGCCGGCGCTTGCAGCGCGGACCCCCCGCGCCCTCGGCCGTCGTCCCAGCGCCGGCAAGGCTGGGAGGCGGCCCAGGGCCCGCCCGCGCCCAGGCCCTCGGCTCGGGGCTGCCCTTGGGGCCCTCTCGGCGGCCCCGCGCTCCCGAGAGGCGACACCCGGCCCGGGCCGCACTCACTGACCTGAAGTGGTGGCGCGGCCGCCGCACAGCCGCTTCCGGCCTGGACGCTGCCCCTCCAGCCGCGGGAGCCCGGACGCGGCCAAGATGGCGGGCGCAGCCCGTGCACTGGGACGGCGGGCCGCGGCCCACGACCCCACTACCGCGTCTCGGGGCCGCGCGGCCGCGCCTGGGCCTGGGCCTAGGCAGGGGAACGCCTCGCGGGTCGCCCCGCCCCTGGGCGTGGCCACGGCCGGGGAGACCCCGCCCCCCGCCAATCGGGATAGCCCCGCCCCCGGGCGTGGACGCGACCGGGGAGCCCAGCCCCGCCCTCCTGATCTCCCCGCCCCCCGGGCGTGGCCTCGATCCTGGAGACCCCGCCCTCCACTCCCGCGCCCCAGCCCCAATGCCGTTGGGTCGTTTTTTGCAGGCTCCATACAACCATCCTGGAACTCTGATTTTCTCTCTGCTGTTCTTTCATCTTTTGCATTTTTGTAGGTAGAGTTCAGGGAGTGGAGAATATATGAAGAATGTAATAAAATAAGTGTGTACATGGTCCAGCCCGTATGCACAGGGGGATGCATGATAAGGGTGATAATTACCTGTACCTGAGCCTGACTTTGACCTTTCACACCACAGTGTAACACCTGCAAACAGTGTCCCTTAGGCCTCACCCCAGTGGGTCCTCAATGGTGAGTACAAAGATGAGGTCACCATGCATAGTCCTTCCAACACGTTCAAGAACTGTGGACTTATGCATGTTAGACTGTCTCCCCACAATTCAACATAAACCAAACTCCTCCTTCTATGAGAAGGATTGGAGAAAAGGGAATGGGGAAACTAAAGATTAGTCACTGGTAAAAGGATCCTGGGAAAATGAAGCCGAGGACATGGGGTTCCCATGACTTACTCTCTGGAACTTCGCCAGTTTAAATAATCAGAATCTTTGAAAAGATTAACATTAGCTGACACTCACAGGCTATATACTAATTTTGAAGAGTCATTCATTCCACAAATATTATCAAAGAATGTATGTCACCATGGGTGTTACAAGCAAAGAAAGAAGCTTAAAAGTGACGCCTTTAATTTAGTGGGAAAGATGATATGTTAGTATCATTTTAGAATATCAAATAGTGACATCTCAGTATGAATCTTACGCATTAGTAGATGAATAATAACAAATAACAATGGGAAAATTCAGAGTCAGGAATTACTTCATTTTATTGAAAGGATGACTTCTTATGATGAAACAGTGGCCTTTCACTAATGAGATTTTGTGGGAGGTGTGTTTTTAAAATTTTTTATTTGAATTCTTAAATACTTTTTTTTTAGCCTGATCCAGTTCTGCTTCCAGCTTTTTTTTTTTTTAAAGATTTATTATTATTTTTTTACTGGAAAGGCGGATATACAGAGAGGAGAGACAGAGAGGAAGATCTTCCATCCGATGATTCACTCCCCAAGTGAGCGCAACAGGCCGATACTATGCCGATCCGAAGCCAGGAGCCTCTTCCGGGTCTCCCACGCGGGTGCAGGTTCCCAAAGCTTTGGGCCGTCCTCGACTGCTTTCCCAGGCCACAGGCAGGGAGCTGGAAGGTAAGCGGGGCTGCCGGGATAGAACCGGCGCCCATATAGGATCCCGGGCATGCAAGGCGAGGACCTTTAACCACTGCGCCACCGCGCCGACCCCCCAGCTGTTTTTTTTTTAAAGATTTATTTTATTTTTATTGGAAAGGTGGATATACAGAGAGGAGAATCTTCCGTCCAATGACTCACTCCCCAAGTGAGCGCAACGGCCAGTGGCCAATGCTATGCTTTCCCAGGCCACAGGCAGGGAGCTGGATGAGAAGCGGGGCTGCCAGGATTAGAACCGGCGCCCACATGGGATCCTGGGCATGCAAGGCGAGGGCGTTAACCACTGCGCCATCGCACTGGGCCCTGCTTCCAACTTTTTGTTTGCTTCCCCCTGATGACAGGAAATATCTTCCAACTCTGGGATTCTTCTGCTCGCCTCATTCTATTTTGGGGACTCTCCACTGTACTTTTAATTTGCTCTACTGTGTTCTTAATTTCTGATATATCGGCCTTGATTTGCTTTATTACTCCCTTAAATTCTTTGAACTCTAGTATGTGTTTCTCATTTTTGATCAGAAGCTTTAAAATGAGTATTATTGATTCTGTATGCCCCATTTTCTCGATGTCTTCCTCAGTGAACTCTGAGTTTGGCATAGGGTTTTGCTCCTTTGCAGGGGAGTTTTCGGTAATATTCATTGTGCCTTTGTCTCTTCTTTTGCTCTTGGTCACTGTACTTCTGGTTAACAGAGTCTTCTCCTTGGGGCAGGTTTCTAAGCTGTGTCACCCACAGGTCTACAATGTGATTTTTCTTATTGTAGTTGGTACACAACTTTTTGCTTGCAGCCACTTGTGCCACAACCTCCAGCGAGTTCCAGGTCTGGGTTCTTATGTTAGATTTCCACCATGGTCTCCACAGCCCTATCTCCTGGCTCACCACTCTCTACCTCCTGTGATACCGTGCTGAGGCTGCACCGTTGTCTGTACAACCTTTCTCCCACTTCCAGTTGGAGCAGGTCCCAGGATTAAAGAGACACCAGGTGTCATATAGTTAGGTTGCCGGAGGCACTGATCTTGTCGGAACCTGTTGGACGTTAGGTCTGGGTGCCACACGGACCTATTTTGACCTGTTTGATGCCACAGTCGGTATTATTTTCCTGTGGGACCAGTGCAATTCGCTGATCTCAGCGAGTTCTCGCGAGCTCAGCACATGCGCAGTTCACCGTTGTCTCCTGCAGTCCCAAAGCTCTTGCCACAGTGTACAAAGCCGCGCTGACATACACCCACTACTGTTCTTGATCTGCTGGCCGTCAGAACTGAGAGCTACCCAGACCTGCCCCGGGTGGAACCCGTAGAATGCCATGTCGATGCGTTTCACCGAGTCAGAAATGAGTTCACTCCCAGCTCAGCGTATGCTCAGTCCTTTCCCTTGCCTTTGCCTCCTTATGCAAAATGGTGCCCAATTCAGCTCTAGAGGCCTGTCTAGGCTGTGAAATCCACGCTGTTCTCGCACTGCCTGTCTGCGATCTGCTGCTCTGTCTTTGCTCCTGGTAAAATCAAACAGACCAGTAGGATGGACAGTTCTTTGTCTGGATTCACCTCACAAGCTCCCAGTGGTTGCTGCTGGAGTTCTGGCTGCTGGTGGAATTCAGATTGCCGTTAGCTGAATGCTGCTGGAGTATCAGTCACTGCAACACCACACCGTTGTGTCCGCTGCTTTCCTGTGTCTGTCAGTCTCCAGGTACCCCTCTGCTGTTGTTCTGTCCTCTCCTGTTTCCTGGAATGTGTCCTCTCTGCTTCATCCTGGTTAAATGTTTTTCCGTCCATTTAAATGTGTTCTTACCCTATTCCGCCATCTTGATTCTCTTCCTTTCTGTGATTTTAAATAATTTAAGAATTGTGACTGGTTCTTTAAAAGTTTGGTAGAATTTAATAGTGAGGCCGTCCTATCCTGAGCTTTCCAGTTAGGAGGCCCTTTAGTACTGATTGAATCTCAGTGTTATTGATTGGTCTATTCAGGTTTCCTATGTTTTGTGCCTCAGTTACACAAAATTATGTATGTCTAGAAATCATCTCTTTCTTCTAGATTTTCCAGTATGTTAGCATGCAACTTTTTAAATTTCTGTGCTATCAGCTATAGTATGTTTTTGTTTTTTTTAATCTCTTATTTTACTAATTTCGGTCTTCCTTTTTTTTTTTTTTTTTTAGCTAGGCCAGTGTTTTATCAATTTTATTTTTGCAAAAAATAAGGTCTTCATTTCACTGCTCTTTTATATAATTTTTAAATTTCTATTTCTTTTAAAATTTTTATTATCTCTTTCTTCCTACTTATTTTTAGTTTGCTTTTTACCTAGGTCCTGGAGATGCATTGCTAGATAACTTTTTTGGATACCATTCCAGCTTTTGTTTTAGGCATTTATTGCTATAGATTTTACTCTTGATGCTGTATCCCACAAGTTTTGAAATGTTTTCATTTTCATTCATTTCAAGAAATGTATTGATTCTGTTCTTGATATCTTCTATGATTCACTGTCCATTCAGGAGCATGTTATTCAGTCTCCATGTGTTTGTATATTTTATAATTTCTTTTAATGTTAATTTCCATTCCTTTGTTAACAAAAGATATAGGATTTCAATTTTTAAAAAAAAATGTTGAGAGGTATTTTATGGTATTATTTATTATCTGTCCTAGAGAATGTTCCATGCACTATGGAATATGTATTCTTTTTAAGAAAAAAAAAACCACTTTTTTTTTTTTTGGAAAGGTAGATTTACAGCGAAAAGAACAGAAAGATAGAAGAATCATGGACTTGATGGTTCATTCCCCAAATGGACACAACAGCCAAAGGAAGGCTGATCTGCAGCCAGGAGCCAGGAGCTTCTTGCAGGTCTCCTATGTGGGTGCAGAATCCCAAGGCTTTGGGCCATCCTCTACTGCTTTCTCATACCATAAACAGGGAGCTGGATCAGAAGTGGAGCAGCCAGAACACAAATGTGTGCCCGTGTGGCATGCTGGCATCCCAAATGAGACATTCCACCAACCTGTAGCAGTTTATTTTTTTCCTTAAAATCTATCTTGTCTGATGTAGGAATTGCTTTTTCTGCCCATCTTTTAAAATTTCCATTTGCTTGTAATCTCTTCTTCAACCCTTTTAGTTTGTATGTGTCTTATTGGTGAGCTGTGTTTCTTATAGACAGCGTGTAAATGTGTCTTGCCTTTTTTAATCCCTGCAATGTGTGGGCCATTTACGTTCAAGGACATTGTTACTAACTAATGACTTGGTTCTGCCATTGCTTCATAAATATTCCTATTGTTTGAATATCTTATGTTCTTTCACCTTGTTCCAATACGCTTATTGTGTTTTTCTGTCAGTTTGTCCTGAAGTGTCATCTGTAAGGATGGTGATAGGTTACTTCAATCTTTATCAGGAAGTCTTTAATTACCTTCATTTATAAGAGAGCTCTTCACTAGGTAAAATATTATGTATCAGCCTTTTTTTCTTTTCTTTTCGGATATGAAGTGTAGCTCTAAGAATTGCTTAGGTCATGAATGTTGTTTTTATTTATTTTTTTTAAATTTCTCTTCTTCATTATTAATTTTTCTTTGAGAGGCAGAGTTAGCGAATGAGCCACAGAGCTCTTGCATCTGCTGGGTC